AATGGGTTGATAAGCCGTAAAAAACAATCAATCTCTCAGTAACATTAGAAACAAGAGAAGCGTGCGAACTTGAATAAAATTCAAAGTAAATCAATGATCAGAACAAAGACTTATGTAGGCGAATAGTGATTTTCCAGGCGTAGCTTAGCTGTGGCAAGCCGAAAATATGGGGCACCCAGTGAGGATCGAACTCACTACTCAGTCGTAATTGTTCTAGCGAGACAACCTTGCTAAACATTACACCACCTCGAGGCGTCCGAGTTATGTAGGCGAATAAGTGTGGGTTGTGATTTTTCCCCCTAAAAAAAAAGAAGAAAAAAAACTATTCTTTAATTGTAACCAAGTTAAGAAATAACAGACGAAAGTTTCAAATAATTCGGATATTGAACAGAAAAGTATTACACGACTTGGGAGTGTGTGTCGGTTGACCAGCGTTCAATCTATACTACCCCCCCCACCCCGAGGCTTATTAATTTTATAGTAAGTGGAAGAGTCCACGACAGACTCATTAGAGGATGGACCATCACAACAAATTGAAAATACGACAGAAGTTCTAAAAATTGGGATTGGAAGTTCTTTCAGATTTAAAATATTTTTCATTCTTGTTAAATCTTAACACTCCTTGCTTGCTCGGCAGTCACAGTTATTTCACAATATCACCCCCCCACACACACACACAAAAAGATTCCATATGATTTGAATCATTAAAATCGTTTCTTTAAGATATTTTAACTATTTTTTTCTTTTATTCGTACCATTATTTATTCGTTAGTTTCTTTCCGGGCAAAGGTTGAACGTCATCGTCCAATATCTTCTGAGCGCTTTCGGCTTTCACAATCTATCAAATAAATCATTTGTGGGTTAATAAAGACATGTCGAGAAGTATGTTTTTGATGCTTTGCGAGAATCCCATCCCTACATGCCTCCAGGTGTCATGTCGGTGTACATATATGAAGCACCTAAAAGAATCAAATAAAACACCTACAGTAAAATGGAAGTTAATAAGAAAAGCTAGAATATGTAGGTCATTAAATGACCCATGTCCTTTGTGCATACATGAGAAACTATATATATTACTAAGTTTATAAAAAATAAAAATTTACTGAATCAGAGAAATGAAATAGCTATTTTATGCCGTCATTGACAAAAATTTTCCTTAAATAATATTTAAAAATAAAAAATAAATTTAAAAAGTGCGACCAGGTAATATACATACTTATATTTAATGTGAAAAAATAATTTTATATACTGTAAGTAATTCTATTACATTTACTTGTTTTATAAAAATATATATATATATATAGTCTATTAAAATAACAGTGAAAATATTTTAAAGTGGTATTTAAAATTGTAGTTAAAACGAATTCATACCTAAACATCTTTTAAAATTGTAGTTAAATAAAACGTATTCTAACCTAAACACCTCTCAAAAAGTACTACCGGCACTTAAATGAATCCAATAAAACACCTACTGGAAAATGAAATTATGATGAAAAGCTAGAAGATGTAGGCTCTTGAATGACCCATGTCCTTTATACAGACATGTGAAACTATATATTACTAAGTTTATAAAAAATAAAGTTTACTAAATCAGAGAAATGAATTAGCTATTTTTGCTATAATTGTCATAAATTTTGCTTAAATAATATTTAAATATAAAATTTTAAAAATTGTGACCTGGTAATATACATACTTATACTTGATATGGAAAAATAATTTTACTTACTGTAAGTAATTCTAATACATTTACTTATTTTAAAAAGAAATATAGTCTATTAAAATTAACAGTGAGAATATTTTTAAAATTGTAGTTAAATAAAACGTATTCTAACCTAAATACTCCCAAAAAATTTTATGTATACAAATAGAAAAAAATGCTGTAAGAATTTTTGCCGTTAACAATAAATTTAAAAAAAAAACCCAGACGACATGCATTTAACGGATGTCAGAATTCACTGAAAAATACATCCCTACCCCTACCAAAACGTAACTAATAACTGATACGACAAAATACAGCGATAATGAACACGGAAACACCCCTTGTCTGGATGAATGGATTTCTCTGTATCCTTGGAAACGTGAATTATGATTTTTTGCTGTGCCTTCAAAAGCCAGTAATTTTTAAAATAAGTTACTCCAAAATTCGCTTGAGGATGGAATGGAACAAATGTCTTTAATTTAATTACAAAATTAAATTCGAAGCTTTTAGCTTTCATTTTTGAAACATGGTTAGAACTGTGTAGCGAAAAAAAACATATTTTAAATCAATTAATTTATAACATATATATATATATATATATATATATATATATATATATAGTAAAAAGGAAGAACAGTAAGATATATAATCCGGTGTTCTTATTGATATTTTTATTTTTACAAAACAGTACTCAATGTAAATTTTCAGAGCATAAATATTATACATTAACTGATTTAAAAATATGGTTCCTTCACTACAAAGGAATTACCATGTTTCAAAAACCGAATCTAAAAACTTCGAATTTAATTATATAATTAAAATTAAAAGCATTAGTTCTGTTTCATCTTCAAGCGAATTTTGGAATCTTATTTTAAAAAAACATTTAAATATATATATATATATATATATATATATATATATATATATATATATATATATATATATATATATAGTGTTACATCTTCACGTATCCACTTTTAATATCTTGCTTTTTATTCTTTTTTTTCTTGTTTTAGGATTTTTGTTCCTGGAGAATCAGGAAATGATCCAGAATAAAAAAAAAACTATTAAGTATCTAAAAAAATAAATAAATAAATAAAAAGGGCTTTTATTGGCCTTTAAAGAAACGTGCTTAAATAAGGAATTGTTTTCATGATACACCCAAACGTTCACAAAGTTGGTATGGAAAGTTCTTCAGATTTAGAGTAGTTTCCATACATGTCGACTTGTCGATGAGAATTTGTCGCGCTTTGACTGGTCAGTCAAGAGTTATTACATCATACCTCACCCCACAAACAAAATCTTCTTAGAATTAATCGAATCATTAAAAGATATTTTAACTATTTTATCTTCTATTCCAGTCATTTTGTATATAACTTTTGATAATTGTTTATATATATTTATATATTATATTGTCAAAAATACTTTTACAAATTTTGGGGCGGGTTCCTTACACCAAGCCAACAACAAAAGGGCATATAAACATATGGCTGCATATCATTTGTTTTTGAGTCGTTTAAAGAAAGTTTATGGGAGACAGCACCTAGTTGCCGCGTAGACTAGGTTACATTTGTCATTTGTGTATATTTGTGGCTAGTCTGTCTTCAACGTTTAACGTCTGTAGTAGTGAGTTAACTGACAAGTTTTCCGTTTAACAGTGGCAGAATAATCATATCGTGAGCAGGCAGATATGATTTTTACATACAGCTGTGCGAATGGTAATGAACGCGAGGCTGTACGGCTGTATCAGATTGCGTTTCCAGGCCAAATGTTTCTATTTACTCCACACACACCCTGTAACCCTTGCATACTAGTGGCCGTACTATCTTGCATGGAGTGAGACCGATATAAAAAAACAAAACAAAAAACAAAGTCCTGCACTAACAAGGTTGCTAATCTTAATATGATCTGTTTTATCCTTCCATTTCCCTCCCTTGAATATTGGAGTCATCTAAGTTCAAATATATTAATGCCATTGTGAATCGGGGCCATCTAACACTATATATAAGATTGTGTTTATAAGCAGTAATTTGGACATTGCTAACCAGACGCTTCACTGTAGCTAAATGGTGTAGCATGTCAGATTAAATGAAGGTTTCCGTATAGGAATACAGGTTCGATTCCTGTCGGAAGAACGCATATTTTCTAAGAAATTTCTCGAATATTCAGACCGGTAATTAATTAATACTGTTTAATTAAAAACAGAGCATTTACTTTACCTCAGCGATTCTCTGTTTAAGTTCCTCTAATTTTGTAGGAAGAGGGGGATTATAAACCTGTCCTTTCACATAGCCCCATAGAAAAAAATTCATAAGGTGTCACGTCAGGTGAGCGTGGTGGCCATTTCAACAGCAAATTGTCATTATCACTGGCATACTCGATTCATCTTCCTGGTAGATTCTTAATGAGAAAAATCCGTACAGTCAACTTAGTTTTTACATGTTTTGTTAAAATTTGAGATTATTTGAGCGAGAATTGGCCATTTTATTAGATTAGAAAATGATTATAAATTTTATATATATATATATATATATATATATATATATATATATATATATATATATATATATATATATATATATATATATATATATATATATATATATATACATATATATATATATATATATATATATATATATATATATATATATATATATATATATAATATATATATATATATATATATATATATATATATATATATATATATATATTTTTCTACTACAGACAAAATCGAAGTTGATTTCTACGGCCTCAGGTATGCTGCCGAAATCTATTGCAGGGAAATAAATAAAGTTTCAAAATAACTAATCTTATGTAAGATAACCGAAATAAAG